AGCCAGTTTCAGGCCATGATGCAGTCCCACTGGAACGAGGCCCTCTGGCTCTTCACCACCAGCGGCTCTTCCTTCCAGCCTTCGCCCAAAGCCCCACACCAGGAGGCCGAAGCAGACCCCAAGTCGGAGTAGTTTGAGAATCCCTGATTTAGTGCAATATAAAAAATACAAATAATTTTCTCAGACACCAACGGTCCATGGACCACCAGTTGGTGACCGCTGACCAAGGGTGAAATTCAGCAGGTTCTGGAGAACTGGTAGCGGAAATTTTGAGTAGTCCAGAGAACTGGCAAATGCTACCTCTGGCTGGCCCAGAGTAGGGTGGGAATGGGGATTTTGCAGTATCCTTCCCCTGCCAAGCCCACCAAGCCAGTCCTATAGAACCATTAGTAAAAAATTTGAATTTCACCACTGCCGCTGACCCAGAGATCCTCTGCGGCAGGAATAGGATGCCTTCCCAGGAGGGCAACAGGGGCCATGGGGGCCACCCTCAGCCTCTCCTCCCAAGCATTCGGCTTTCCCGGCCCCACATCCCATCCCGCATTTATTTTGCTGCCCGTCTCGCTTTGAAGCGACTCTGGGCGGCTTACAGCATGAAGACATTAAAATCCCCAGGGATGAACATTCCCAACACAATAAAGTGACAGCTTTGTGTAACATTTGCTTCCTGGGTGCCAGGGGACCACCGTCCCTTCCTCACCTGCAGCTGCAGCTGGCGCTTCTGTAGGGCGGACTGCACCATAGCCAGGGTGGAGACGGCAAAGACGGGAGAGTGGCTGCGTCGAGGCGAGGAGCTCCGCAGGGGGGAGGGCAAGCCCCGCAGGTCGGTGCCGTTGCTGGCCGAAACGTCCGCCTTTGGGTTGGACGGTGAGAGGTGACCGGTGCCTTCAGCGTCCAAGATCACTGCCTGAGGGATGGGCCAAGAAGAAAACGACCCATTGGAATGCAGGAAAGCGCCTCACGGGCCCGCCCGTTGCAAAGACTAGATCTGTTCCCATCCCTTGAGATTTCGTGGGCTGTCCCAGAAGGCAGTACCTGGGCAATCTCTCGCAGCGCCTGATGCAGCTTCTCAGCTTCCCTCCTCAGAGCTTCCACCTCCACAGCCTGTTCCTGCGCACGGGAGGCTTCCTGCAGTGGTAAGGACAGTTGGTAAGTAAGTAAAGGTGTAATGTTATTGGAGATCTATTGAAACTGCAAATGGATAGCAGTAGGTGGTTGTGTCTTTAAATATAAACGATTCTAGATAAAAACATGTTTAAATAATGGTAACCAAATGAGAATTGTGGTACAGGGATGGTAAAATACATAATTTTTCTTTCTTGATTTAAAATGTACAACTCAATTTGAATGAAGTATATGTAAGGATTGGGGAAGAAACACACGGAATATATTTGTAACCAATTGATACACTTTCTACAAGATGTAATGAAAGATGACTCCTTTTTTTGTGCTTTTGTTTAACTAAAAAAATTAAAAAAATTCTCCCCCCCCCCCCAAAAGGACAGTTGGGAAGGCAGCTCTGCCTGAACGTTTCCAGTGCACCTCTCCACCCCCCCTTATCTCAGCTGGGGCTGTTTCCCACAGCGTCCTCCCCCCAGGGCCAATGTTGTGGCCCGGTGGCGGCCAGCAAAGCTGACAGCAGAGTCGGACAGTGAGGAGGTTGGGGAGGAACATGGCCAGTCCTGGAGGCTGGGGAAGGCTCTGATGAGGGCTCTGCATTGGAGGCAGAGAGGGAGCTAGACAGCGGTGAAGCAGAGGAACAGCTGGAACCTGTTTTCAAGTGTGCGCATGCACAGAAGACAAGAACAGCTTGTCTGTGTGGAAGCAGATAGGCTCACCCTCGAATTAATGAATAAAGGGAAATCGGAATACTATGAAGCTTGGAATAGATTTTACTATTGGTATAAGACAAGGTGACAAGACTGGAACACACTGTAAATAATGTGATTGGATAGAAGGATAGAAAATGTATTAAGTAGGCTAATATTGGGCGGGATATTTGTATATAATGTGATTGTATGGTCATTAGACTTCGCTGTGATGCACTGTTTTAAATGTAAAAACAATTAAAAATATATATATTTTAAAAAATAACAACTAGGGAAGCAGGGTTGACTTGGGAGTAAAGCCACACCTTGGAGGTGATTGGCCCCTCTCATAGGAAACAAAAGAGGAGCGAAAGGGGAGGGGGGCTTTTGCAGGAAACAATTCGTTCCTTCGGTCGTTTCAAGAGTGGAAAGTTCTGTCTGTGACTATAAGAGAGACTGTGCCAAGGGTTGGCTTGCCCTGCGTTTGAAAACTAGTTATTTGGCAGCTCTCCAAGTGAGATAAGGTGCGTGTGGATAAACATTCCTCAGAAAGACTGTTTGCTAAGCCTTGCTGGCTGCGAATGAAAGGAATTCACAGTTGTGTAAATAAAAGGGGTTTTGCCGAGACCCAGATTCCACTTTCATGCTTTTTAAGGAAGCCTGGATCAGAACAGTCAACTTCCTGCCTCCGCTTCTCACCAAAGTCTCCAGCTTGTTGGTCAAGCCTTCAATCGTCCTGCTCTTCTCCAGGTTCTGCCCTTTCAGGCGCTCCAGGCTTGAGAGAGCTTCGCTGAGCCTGAAGCCGGAAGAAAGCCCCCCCACAAGTCAGCCCTCCGCAGCTTCTAAGAGCAGAGCCAATTTCGGAGCGTGCCCCCTCTCTCCCCAGCCCACCTGGTGCTCAGCTCCACCTTCTCGGTGTCACACCGGACCTGCAGCTGGATCACGTCCCTGACCTTGTCCTCCAACTGAGCTGTCAGCAGCACCTGCTTCTCCACCGCCGCGCCTGCAGTGCTCTCGGACAGGTCAAGGCGGCCGCTCAGGTTCAGGCAGGTGGCGTTGACGGCGCGGCTCGTGTGGCACAGCTCGCTCTTCAGCTCCGAGAGGTCCCTACAGGAGGAAGCGGAACCTTTGCATGGCAGAGACAGAAGAAGGGCTCCTGTTAAAAGGCACTCCCTGGAGGCAGGGCGCAGGGAGGTGAACGTGAGGCTACGGCTCTCAGGCCCCTCATCGCTCAAGGGGCTTTGCGAATCCGGCAAGCGCAGGAAAAGCAGAGCAGGAGCAGAAGAAATCTCAAGGAGATACGGGCACGCAAGAGTGGTGCAGCCCAGGAAGCAGCAAACAGAGGCTGAACATAATATAGTATAGCTAAAGGTTCCCCTCGCACATATGTGCTAGTCGTTCCCGACTCTAGGGGGCGATGCTCATCTCCGTTTCAAAGCAGAAGAGCCGGCGCTGTTTGAAGACATCTCCGTGGTCATGTGGCCAGCAGGACTCAATGCCGAAGGCGCACAGGACACTGTGACCTTCCCACCAACGGTGGTTCCTATTTTTCTACTTGCATTTTTTACGTGCTTTCAAACTGCTAGGTTGGCAGAAGCTGGGACAAGTCACGGGCGCTCATTCCATTACGCTGCGCTAGGGATTTGAACTGCCAACCTTTCTGACCGACAAGCTCATCAGTGTCTTAGCCACTGAGCCACCTATATGCATACAGTAGACAAATCTATATATCATAATACATGCTATTGTGATGCAAAAGATATAAGTCCCTCACACTAGTGTATCTGTGGTTCTAGAAGCTCCAAAGCATTCTAGATGAGTTTGCAAAAAAAAAACAAAAAAAAAACCTCTGTTCTTTTACTGTATGCAGGAAGAAAAGAAGGTATGTCTTGACTTCGCTTGATTGGGGAAATGCCCCATTAGCTCTCGGAGAGGACGCTTGGTTCCTGAGGGCTCTTGCTTTGCCAATTCCAGTTTAAAACTGACAGCCAAAGTAATGTAAAGATAATGATTGATTTAATAGCTGACCAGCTGCTTTAAGGCTGTAAACCGAGATGAGGAAATGAGAATGAATCAGCAGGGGTTACTGCCACTTTAAGAAGCTGTCTATATAAGGGAGGCCATGTGAGGGCAATTTCTCTCTCCATGTGTGCTTCTGTTTTATAGTTAAAGATTGATTGATTGATTGCCTGGTTTTTCTGTCTGTCTGTCTAATCTATCTATCTATCTATCTATCTATCTCTCTCTCTATCTATCATCTATCTATCTATCTATCTATCTATCTATCTATCTATCTATCTATCTATCTATCTACGTCTTGTAGATAAACCACTGTATGAAAAACAAAACCTCTGTGTATTATATTTTGCTCCTGGTTTGTCTCAAAATAGTAGTCACTATGAACACTCTTGACATGCCTGCCACACCTTAGACCCCAACACTAACCTTTCCGTCATGCTCTTCGTTTCACTGAAGTGCCTCCTGAGGCTGACCACTTGCCGCCAGAGGGTGAGCAGCCGGCTGTGCTCACTGCTGAAATAGTCGTTGAACGACTGAAGGAAAGAGAGGGAGAGAGAAAGGAGAACAGCTCCTACTGACTTCTAGGGGACTCCGACTGCTGTCTCAGGACTCCAGGAACCTCCAATTTTGTTGAGCTATTGCACAGCCCATTCTAACACTAGCATTTAGACTTATATACCTCTTCACAGTGCCTTTCCAGCCCTCT